TTTCGAAACCGCCTACTGATCTTTCAGATAAAGTGTCACATTTTTTCGGGTTGCCAAAATCCTGTTCTGTCAACTTCTGCTCTACTTCTTGTGAACACTGGTTCGGTTTATTTATACCGAAAAAAATAATTCCAACGAATCTCTGCATTTTGGAGTAAGATATTTTCGCTACAGAGTCATGAGTGAAAAAGTACAATGAATTTAATTCAATAAATTGTAAATTAATATGACGATATTTTATCGTTGTCTTCTGCTATAGCATGTTTCCACGACATTTATAAATATCTTATTAAAAGACAATTAATTATAAAATCACATATCGCTGAGATGGAATTAATTTATTATAATTATTTGAAACAATAGATTAATTAAAAATTATGTGCTTGCATATTTTAGTGGTAAATGCTCAATACAATCTAAATTAATTTAAAATATAAGTGTCTTGTGTCATTAACAACAAGACATTTGACGCCCTCGGTTTTAAATTTAGGACAAGGACAATATTCTTAGAGAATGGCAAAAATAATTGCCATTTGTTTTAAAATATATCTGATTACAAATTGATATTATTGTATTTTTGAATTGATTAAGTTTTCTTTGTTAGTTAACTGTAATGCACTTTCAATTATTTTGAAAATAGATGTTTTATGAGTATTATTTAGAAAGTTTAAACATTTGTTGATCACTTTTTTAAGCTTATATTTCCCAAATTCAATTGTATTCACTTTTATTATTAGAACAGTCACCCACTTATTGGTTGGATGCCAGCAGTACGCACCAATAAAAAAAAATTGAATATGAGTTTCAATATAGGATAAGTCCTAGAAGATTCGGAAACTGGTGTCCAATCTCTTATAAAATTCTTAGAAGAAATTAAGTTTTACCACCGAGTGTAAAAATATAAGAAATGCCAATGAACCTTCGGGGTAGAGGCATTACCACAATAAAAAGAAATTTAAAAAAATTCTATCCGTCTTTCAAAATATTATCATAACCATAATATTAATAACTTGGGAATGCACATTTATTTGTCCATTTTCTTGTTCAAGCTTGGAATTCCTTTTAGGACTTATAAAGTATACCAAATTAATTAATTCAAAAGATCTAAACATTTTGAATTTCCAAATGATCCATTCCTAAGAGTAATATTATTCAAATACCTTAACCCCGTGTTGTGTATATGTATTTTTTTAAAAACAGGCTGCAATAATCACCGAATGATTTATATCATTTATTAAAAATCAACACTTGGTGCATGATAGGACCTTATGAAGAAGCCATCGATTGGTAGCACCTCAATGTTAAAATTAATTTATTCTCTGCTTCTCTCATTTTGGTAAATCTCTTACTCCTACCTCATATAATTCTTAACATCTCATGATGGGTTCTCTACCTGTGCGCAGTACCCTCCTGATCTATAATAGATGATACATTTTTTTCTTTTTTGGCCACCTAATAAATCATTTGTTGCATTCGTCATGCCTGGTCGTGTTCGTGGTCCGTGTCGGTACCTCGCGTGACCTGGCCGAGTGGCTTCAGTCAAGGTTCTATCCAAGGTGGAGAGAGGGGTGGGCGAAGTACAAAAGGTACCGCACTGAGCTTATCCATATATATATATATATATATATATATATACAATAAAATTACTCTGTTGATTAAATCCTTGTATTCGCTGTATAAGGAGAGATAGATCACTCCGATGATAAACTGTTTATCCTACATACTTTATAACGGAAGGAGACCGCAACGTTCTGGGTACAGGTTCGAAGTTGGGATAATTTTTTTCTCACCTATTCATTACCTACAAGAATTTCAGTATCAGAAGAACTAGAGTAACCATTAAAATCATCCTTTTTTTTTTTTTTTTTGTTAATTGTGGATTGATGGTTGACTGTAGTGAATAATTGAAGAGAAGGATATTTGAGATGATCAGAAAAAATAATAAAAATATATAAATATATTTATTTTTATACTTGCCGACGTTTCGGCCCGAATTTGAGCCCTTCATCAGGGCTAAGAAAAGAACCAGATAACAATAGGTAGGAGAAACTATAAACATTGAATAATATAGAATTAAAATTGAAACGATGAAAGGTATAGACTAAAACATGTAGGTAGAAATAACTTAAAGTAAAATGAAGTAGATAGAGTGAACATTAAAGTAAAATAAAGTAGGTAGAATAATAACAGTAACAGAGAACTAAGAAATAAATAATAATAACGGCAACAAAGTACGGACTAATGAAATAAACATAATCAAAATAAGTTAACATAAGAAATGAAATACATTGCATTCTAAGATTAACGTTTTTCATTTTTTATTTTAATATACTATTTATTTCTTAGTTCCCTCCCACTATTATTATTCTACCTACTTTATTTTACTTTAATGTTCACTCTATCTACTTCATGTTACTTAAAGCTTTTCTGCCTACATTTTTTAGTCTATACCTTTCACCTTTTTAATTTTAATTCTTTGTTATTATGCAATGGTTATAGTTTCTCATACCTATTGTTATCTGGTTCTTCTCTTAGCCCTGGCGAAGGCCTGAACTTCGGTCCGAAACGTCGGCAGATATAAATATAAATATAATTAATTATTTTACTATTTTTTATTTTGACTGATCACCCCAACCATCCTTCCCTTCAATCATTTTTTTTTTTTTTGTTTATAGATTTAAACCACCCATTATTCTTATAATTGTATCCAAAAATAATATTTTTAAAACGTGTCTAAGAATTAACATGATAGCAAAATATCAAAAAGAAAAACGAGCATTATTTCTAGGAATATTTTTGAAAAAAAATAATCCCTTATGGTTTACAAACTTTCGTCAATACAGGCGAAAATCATGAGGAGAGTTGAAAGGAAATAACAATTATCAGCCTAAAAAAAATAAAATAAATTGAGATTATATATCTCTTCACTTGCGGATCAGCGAGGAGAGTTATGTAAAACCTTTTTGCATAAACGTTTTCAGAGATTGGGCTATATTAAATGAAATGAAAAAATTATCTTTGCCAAAGTTCCTTAATTTAAAAATAACCAACAAATATAAAATATTTTTCGATAAAAGGCGCATTCATCTTTTGAGCTAAAACTTAATGATAAAAAATGATCGTATCACATTAATAAAAAAACATTTATATTGTATGTTTCATATATTGAGAAATATTTTTCTTCGGAAAAAGTTGGAACGCTAAAATTGACATTTATGCAACATTTTTTTTCATTCAAACAAGTATAATATGCTTCGTAAATTATTTTAGAAATACTGTCAAGCGATCTCATTAAAATCCAGGTCCATAAACACAGATGCAATCGGTCCTTCATAAGATTTATGGGTTTTATTATATGGAAATTATTATAATCTTATTCCAAAAAAATCGCCTTTAATATCACTTTAAAGAGCGCGGCAATGGCAGGTCTTGACGAATTGGACGACAGCTGGGCAATTTCGAGAAACTCGATTTCTGTTGTGGAGCAGGTTTTGGCAGATTTGGAGCGAGATTAAGCTCGGCAAACGGGCTAAAATATTTCGGAAACAGCACCACATTTCTAAAATAAATAAAAATAAAATACGATTATTTCTTAAAGTCAGCATGGTACGACCATTCACATACACAATTTATATCATACGTATTGAACAATATTATTAATATATGTTTTCAGATGTAATCGATACAACACATCACTGTTTTTATTGATACCATTTCTTATAAGATTTCAAAAATACATTTCATCTCCAGTTCTGACCAATACATATTTTTTATTATTTCATTTGTTGCTGTATATTTTGTATTTATTTTATTTTTGGCAATTAAAAAAATAAAATAATGGCAAATTGAAAGTATTTCATAGAATTTTCTGTGAGGAGGGCCCCCTTGCTAAACAGGTTAATTCCATACATCATAAGTGAATATATACATAGTAGAGTACATAGTATATTATTCATGTGAAAAGAAAATTATATTTTAGTTTATTTTTTCGTATAGTATTTTATCCTGAAATTGTGGTAAAAAATATTTAACTACCTGATTGACATCATTGAACCTAAAACATGACCTTTTTTTTCAAAAATTCAGTTAAAAATAGTTTCCAAGGAATCAGAGATCTCAGAGTAACTACTTTCAGCAATGGTCTTAAGATATGTAACCAATAATTTTTTATAATACGGTTAAAAAGGCTTTTGATGAATTTTCAAAAATACTTAAGAAATGCAAGTTTCATCATTTGCTTGAGAAAAAAAAAATTAGAAGGTTTCGGGACTTTAATTATTTTCACACTAAATTTTTTAATATTTAGAATCGTATATGAAAAAAATGAATGCATCATCAGATCCATTGGATGTTTTTTCATGGGGGTTCATTTTGCTAATAAGCGATTCACATGTCATATTATATTTAGGGAATAATCAATGGACGTTATAAAACTTTAATATTTTTTTTCAACACTAATTTAAAACAAAAGTAATGAGTAGTTTGTCTCATGTACTATCTGACATTATTATACCCCCTAACGTTATTCGGATACAAAAACATATTTTTAATTTTTCTATAGTTACTATTTGAACAAGGGAGGAATCTTAGAGCAGCGGCCTCGACTTCAGTATTGGAATGGTCGGCAGCGGAGGGGCGGAGAGTGCAATGGTAGCAGTCCTTAACAGGAGGTACCTCTAGCTGCTAACAAGGCTTTGTTCACCGGCTCCTGTTTACCATTGTAAGCTCTCCTTCAGTATTCAATTCAAAAACGGTCCCTCTCTAATCAGCAACAAAGTTTCTCTTTGTTCGGGCTCCTTCCAGCGCTAAGAAATGTCTGGATTCTACAGACACCTTGTATTGCAGCCGATGAAGTAACAGTCGAGACATCTGCTTGTTTTTTTTATCACATTTTAATAGTAGTAATATTTATAACTTTCAATGTATCTAAAAAGTTTAATTTATTGCAAATACATCTCACATTTCCTTAACCCTTCTTCAATATACAAAATGATTAATTTATGGTCCTTTCTGTTGCAGGTAGAATAGAATGTGCTCGAGGACTGGCTGCTGTGGTTAACATGGAACTTGGTGACAGAACTAAAACTGAGAAGGCGGAGCTATTCGACTTCGTCAGCAGTCCTGAGAACTTGAAGGCGCTCGGGTTGCACGTGGAGACTGGTTGCGTTAGCGGAGAACCTACGAAAGAGACCAACAACAACCACCTCATGGTCAACATGGCACATTACGATGACATCTGGTCCAACATAGACAGCAGCGTTCTCGACGACCTCAACTGCTGGACACCCGAAGGCGGCGGAGGTTCAGGGAAAACTGACAATACCGACGGAGCCATCTATACCCTCACCGTACTCAACGGAGCGGAACAGGGACCTTGGTTCAAGCACGAAGAGAAAGAGGACAAGAACCTCGACATCGATTCCATACTCAGCGCCATACCATCCACTTTCTCCAATACCTTCCATTCCGAAGAGAACACTTTTGAAGATACCGCTTTCACAGAAAAGAAAGAAGAACTTACAAGGGTAGCAGAGATACTCAATAATTCCACCACTTTTAACAACAACAACGAATGGAAGCAAGAAAACAATAACGAAGTGGATTCTCTCCTCAGAAACGCGCTACAGGGGAAGACGTTATCGCGTTACAACGGTATCAAAGTGGAAAAAGTAGAAAAACCCGAGGAGGAAGAAAAGATGATGTTAGAGAGTCCGATATTATACGACAGCTCGACGATGATAGATTCAGATAATCCAAGCAGTGCACACAGCATGGAAGAGATGTTTTTGTCTCACCTGGACGTCTCCTATCCTGAAGATTATGAAAAGTTGAAGCGGATCGAAACCGAAGTGGCCGAATCCGTGGAGCAATACTGCTTAGATAGAACATACCTGCCTTCTGGGTCACAAGTTCTCACGCCTCTCATCCTTCAGAAACCTAGTAAGAAGTACACCAAGAGGTCCAAGTCGACGGCTTCCAGTCCGGGTTCGTCGACGGGTGTGCGGAAGGAGAGGTCCCTCCATTACTGCAATATTTGCAGCAAAGGTTTCAAGGACAAGTACTCGGTGAACGTGCACATCCGCACCCACACGGGGGAGAAGCCCTTCACCTGCTCGCTGTGCGGCAAGAGCTTCAGGCAGAAGGCACACCTTGCCAAGCACTACCAGACTCACATGGCCCAGGCCAAGAACGGAGTCACTTCCAATCAGAAACCGTCCAAAAATCTGATTTCCAGCAGCTAATCTCAGCCTCAGGATTAGAACACTATCTCATATTTTAAGTTATATTATCTTATGCTACTTTTTGTATATTTGAAACCCCTCTATGGGTGGATTGGAGTAAGTTCCTTGATGTGAGAAGATTATTTATAAAAAAAAATAAATTAACGATTACAGTGTTACCATAAGCTGTTGTAAAATTGTATGGATTACATGGTATTACATTCCTGTGATATATCTTCCTCATCTGTATGTATCTCTTCTAGATGAAGGTGTCAAAATACTCAATGTTTTCTCACTCTTAATGATTGAATGTCAAATATTTATTACTTGACCATATTCCATAAGTGTTTTATATGAATTTTTATTTTTGCCTCAATCTGAAGCAAATTAAAATTTATGATTTATGGGGACCATTTAATTCTGCGAATGAATTTTAGTGCCTCTTGAATGTTTATCATTAAACAGCGATAAAAAGCCATGACATATCTTTTAAATACTAAGATATTTATATCGGAAAATATTTGTTCCTAAATGTTATAAAACGTGACAATATGGAAACGTGTTGAGAGTATTTTTCTATGTTTATAATTGTATTATAAGATCTGCTCTCTATTTATAAGTGCCTTATAAATAAACATTACTAATATTCATGATGTAGCCAAAAAAATCCTGCGGGTGTGAGATTTATAAATGGGCCAAAATAAGTTGCCAATACTGTAAATAAGATTTTTATAAATTATTTTGTTTTGTTTTAGTTTGTTTTTATTATTGTAAATTGTAGCATTAAAGACCCCTAGATGATGTTTATTTCTATAAACACAAACTGCCGACTAGGTGCAATATTAGTTCTAAATTTCAAGACTGAATTCATTATTCAGTATTTTTCTTGTATTGATGTACAAATAAAGCCATCCTTGTAACACATTGCTTTTTATTTTACTTTATTTGTTTGTTTAACTGCCAAATGTATAATGTAAATATTATTTATAAGACAGATTGCCATAGATATTTAATATATATTGTTATAATAGAAATAGACAAACCCATAATTACTGCCATTAGCATTATAATAAATCTTATATATAATATATATTGTTTTGTTTTATAAAATTATAAATATATGTATAAAACTTGTTGTTCTCATTCCATGTTAATATGATCTTGCAGTACATGTGTTTTTCTATATGGAAATGTCTTATGTTTTCAATAAAGATAATTTTTTATTTTTATATTTATTTTACAACAGAAATCGTTTTGATTTTTTTTTTTTTATTCCTAATCTTCCATATATATATATATATATATATATATATATATTAGATAAGTTTTTTTTTGTTCACTGAGCACAAAATAGTAAGATATATGTTAAAACAACAGCAGTATTTATTGGTCTTACTCACAGTACTACTGCTGCTAGAAAAAAGAATAGAAGTTTTAATTATGGATAACAGGAACAAAATTCAGTTTCATCATCCATATAATAAATATGACATAGACTCTGTTTGGAAAATTTTGCCTATTTCCTTTATTGTTGAAGAACTAAATATATAAAACATTCATATTTTATAATGCACTAAGCCCCTAAAAATCTTAAGTGACATACAAATTTTTAAACAACAATTTAACTCAAAATTAATTTGAAAACTGTAGCATGTTTTTATTGAATGTAATAGAAAGTGAAGTGAATCCTTAGTTTTGAGAGTTAAATCATTTTTGTTATCATAACTATGTCATAATGATTGAATTGTCAACAATATCTATTATGATGAAAAGATTTATTTCAAGAATAAATTTCAATGTGCGTGTGTGTGTGTGCGTGCGCATGCGTGCGTGTGTGTGCGTTTGTTAGAAGAGATAACTTCAAAAATGAAAAGATTTTTTACACAAAAAACCATACTTAAAATAGTACACCAATTTAATAAATTTGATCCTGTTATAAACATGTATTGATTGAATTCTAAACAACAACATTTTATAATAATGAAACATTATTAATCTACAGTATAAAAACTAGTTATCATTATATTTTAAACAAATTGATAAAGGTCAAAAGAGATAAAAATTGGACTAAAAAATAAAACTTTTATTCGTATTTATTTCATAAACTTCATTTAGCTATTGTACTATATATTTTGTAATTAAATTTGGTTGTATTCTCTGTAAAAAATAAATTTATGGAGAACTATTAAAACAAAATATAAAAAAATAATTTGCTAGTGGTCAGTGAAGAAAGATGAGTGGTTTTTTCTTCCTCATATGAAGAAATTAAGGACATGTTTAAGAATAAATAATAATAAAAATCAACACATTAAAATTAAAACCAAAAGAAGCTAAATTATAATTATAACAACAAATATAAACAAGGAAGAGAATATTTTTCAGGTCTGGTTAATCTTTTTATTTTCAAAATTGTAGCATTCTAAAGTTAAATTGTAGTGAGATTGGATAAGGTACCTTCACTATTCTCATTCCAGCAGCAGCCAATTTTCCTAAAGGTTGGTTTACAACAAAGTTACCAGTAAAGTTTTTTATAAGCTAACTATTAATAATATTTTGATGTCAACTTTCTTCCCTGATTAATTGTTATTAACATTTCCGGTGAATTGGTGTTAATAAATTTGAATCTTATAAACAAAACTTTTTGACTTTTTCAGAATAAATCATTGAAAAATTGAAATAATTTGTGTAATTAGCATAATCAAAGTCAATGTTTTAAATTTTCCTGCTATATCCGGGTTGTTCCCTTACAGTTATTTCTGGATTCTACACTTCTCAAAATGTTTACATATGTACATATTTATATAAAAATCATGAAGGTAAAAGAAAAATATTGCAATCATAAATCATAAGTTACTCAAAGAAGAAATAATATTTTAAGGTTTTTTATTTATTTTCTCTTCAAAATTAACCCAAACTACATAATGTTTTTACAAAACAGTTACTTAAATTTTACAGTACTTTTTTTTACATAAGATTAACAGGTTTTAAACTTAAACTATTTAATGTATAAACAACACAAAATTAATTTGTAGTTTGTCCTCAATGCTACCACAAAAGAAATTAAATATAAAAAACAAAGAAGAAAATTTAACAAAAAAGCATTAATAAAAATATCTGATTGTATCACTTGTAACATTTTTGGGGGGATTTTTGTTTTAACTTTTTGTATTTGAAAATAATACAATTTGAGGATAAGTAAGTAATAGTAGTAGATGTTTATTCTCATACTATATTTTCCTCCTCCCTCCCCCATACATACATACATACATACATACATATATATATATATATATATATATATATATATATATATTAATAAATAAAACATGTACTTAAATGAAGTGAATTGAAAAAATTAAAATTAATTTGAAATAAAATAAAACCAATAAATGTATGTACTTTATGTCCATTAAACATAGTTAACTCAGAAACAGGTAGAAGTGACCTACCGAATCATTTTCGAGATCTCCTTGAGGAAAAAATTCTTATAAATTTAGCTTTTCAGGATCTCAAACACAAAAACATACACCCAGAACACATAAGAACAACACCCATGTCTGAAGAGAGAAAGGCAGTATTAATATAATAATAGTAATATAATTTCACAGTTCTTTTTTAACTTTTTTTATGTATTGGATGTATTAGATCAGTAGCACAGGTGGATGCATGGGGGTAGGGCTTTCGGGTTGGATCTTCCCAATGGTACAATATAACCATATCATTTGTACAATTTAATTATTTAATTAATACCTTTCTTGCCACCTTTCTATACCAAGCCATCAGAACTCAGCGACCTTCCTATATTTTTTACAGCCTACAATTTAAATATTCCATTCAATCCCGTCACACTAGATCCCGTACTTCTGACCTCTATCCACCTTCTCTCCAAACTGCTGCGTTTGACAAATCCCTTATAATTCAAGCCTTCTCCTTCTGGAATACCATTCTTCCCGATATCGGACAAGCACAATCAGTTTTCTCATTTAAATCTCTCCTTTTTAAGCACCTACTCGTTTCCCAATCTGATCAATCACAAAATGTAGATAAGAGAACTTTTTAAGTTCCCCCAGAAATGATTTTGTTTACTTATGTTATTTTATTTTCTCATGTTTGTTTTATATATTTCTGTATGTTTTTACTGTTTTTGTTTTTTTCTTCTTCCAACATTTTAATTTTAATGAGATTTGTAAACATTTAATTTAATCTATGGCCACGCAGGCATTTTTTCTGTATCTATAATTTGTCCTAAAGCGACAACAGTCCTAGGATAATAAAAAAAATATTTTTATTTCATTTTCATGTGTAAAAAATCATCTCTAAAACAATTATTGTTGAGTAATAATGATTAATAGGATTTCAAGAATCACTTAAATACCATTTCATGTAGGTAGTTAGGATCTTTCTTCTTCTTCGAAAGTAGCAATCATTTTATACATATATAAAAGTTTTCGGTCTGAAACCCTCCCAAAATTAAATCCTGGATCAGCTAGTGATCAGTAGGTAAGTTTAAGTGTTATTAGAATCTGATGAATTATTCTAACGTTAGTCTTAAACACTCTATGTCACCAAATCATGGGATAAGATATCAAGTTATTAAAATTTACAATGAAATTATTCTACATTATAAATTATCTTAAGGACTGAAATACATAAGAAAAATATATCAGGTACAAGAAAATATACATAAATCCATGTTAAGCTGGTAGATTCTTAATGCACACAAAAAGACGCTATTCAAGCCATCAGTTTCAGAAACTCTTATTTATAGTGTTTGGAATGGAATATTGAATACTTAATCTGATAGAATGCATATTCATTTCTGCCTGGAGAAAGTCCCATATAGCTTGATTAGTATGATCGTGGGCGCATTTATCTCATCAATTAGGGAAATGTATTCGCCAAATCCACTCTGTGATTAATGATTAAATTTTATGACTTAATCTTTTGGTGAACTCGCTTTAAGTTCTTCAAACGTGACGTTTACTAGACACCAAGGAAGAATGAAAGCCATTCATAATTAA